ATATATATATTTTGCCTGACTTGCGGAAGGCTACAATAAAATAATCCATGTTTGAGAAATTTTAGGTTCAATATTGGTCAGTTATGGAGACAAAAACCTCATTGAATATCTTGATGATAGCTTCTTGATTGCAAGGGAACTGTTGCATGCCATTTTCAGTAAAGTTTAGAGCATCCTTACAGAAGCCTTCTGATCCAGCAAGTCTTCATGTGACATTTATTAAGTGTGTACTAAGTGACGCTGACACTTGTCTTGCCAAAATTGTAAAACCATTACTTAAAAAAAATGAGCAAGTAAGGCAAGCAGTGGCGACTCAGTGTATATCGTATTCCCGACCTTTGCCCTGTCCCTAACACTTGCCCTGATTTTGAATAATTTTAAGTTTCTTACTGCTTTCCATGTTGCTTGGATTTTATGTGCCAAACAAGCTTGCATTGGAAAAATATGATTTAATACAATCTATGAAAGTGGATAATGTGTATGATAATCAATTATTGCTCTACTCTTCGTATGAAGGTGATTTATATTTGTGTAATTGAGAGCAGAGTTAAAAATTTAATTGAAGGTGTTGAGTGAGGTTAGAAAGTGAAATTAGTGATCATACTTGGGTCCAAGTAGGCTTTTCCTCATGCATATAAAGTAGAACTGCATTCCTTGTTTCTTTAAATATATATATATATTCATCCATTTTCTCTATACTCCTCCCATAAAAGAGAAGTAGCCAAAAGTTAACGAGAGTGGCTAATTCTCCCGTCTACTTACCCTCAGAACTTTGCCCTTATCCTGGAAGTGACAGGTATTGGATGAGGAGTTGGATCTGCCAGCCTCTCAGTGACTCTTAGCAACATCCTGGCCTGAGCTTGCTCAGAGTGTGTGTATCTGGCTACACAGGTTGTGGTTCTACTGTCTGTGCAACACAGCAGTGGTCACTAGGACCCCCCTGTCCACACATCCTATAGCCCACTAGGTGGTCTAAGGGATTTTTTAAGGATAAACTTGACTTTACATTTAGAACCTCACTTCTACAGGGGCATATTAATCACAAATGAAATTGGTGAAGGCTACCCAATCCCAAAGTCTGTTGAAAGCAAAGATACTCATTTTCTACATCAGAATTTCTCAACTACTTTTGAACTCAACTCCCATTTGAAAGACCGAAGAAATCTCAAGTTCTCCTCCTAACCCTGAAGATTTGTGGAGCCGTCTGTTGTAACCAAACAGACACTCTTGAGATCTACTTTTGTAGGTGGAGTTATATTTTTTTTTTAAATTTCTCTTCATGTCTCCATACCAAGAATTCTGGGTGCCTATTTCTGATGGAAAACAGACTATGTTTCACTATGAAATACTCAATTGAAAACAAGATTTAGAGTTGCCATAACTTGAAGAATGGACTTTTGGAGTCTGGAATGTCTGTCTTCTAAGACAGAAGTGAAGAAAAAAAGAAAGATACCATGTAGAATCAAAGAATAAGCTAATGATTGGTCCCCCTTCTAAGGGAGCTACATATACTCAATACATTTGTGATTACTGGCTATGGTTACTGGATTGCCAGGGCAGGGATCCTGATGTATGTGAATACTGTAATTTTAAGTTGACTTTGTCATACCTGACTTAATAATCTGAATACAAAGCCCCCAAATTGTTTGCTATTTTGTTTGCATCAAAATGTGTAGCTCAAATGACTTTATAAGACCAGCTTTGCAAGACATCACCTTCCCTTACACCAGCCCCAGAAAGAATGCAACGACAAATGACCTTTAGGTCCTGCTTTCAGGCAACTAACGTTGCTTGCAAAAGCTCAGCCAAGAAAATACCTGATGGTTGGTCTTGTGTCACTTTTGTTAAAATGTTGTTGTTGAGAAGTTGGTAAAAGCTGTAGATTCAGAACAGAGAAGGGAAAGAAGGAGAAATTTTGTATGTACGTATATACAGGATAGTTAGCATGGTTGTTCTACTGTTTTCTGTTTCTTTGCTGACAGAAACTGTCAATGAGTCCTTGGTTGATCAATATTGCATGTCTCTATCTGTTTTCATGAGAAATCACTTTGAAGATATGTAATACAACAAGCATTGTTAATTTCCTACCACTTAGTTTGTAACTCCGTATTGTCTGTACTGTTCTTTTGCTATTTTGTAAAAGGTTGTCTCTCTGTTAATGTTTTCCTCCTTTTCTTAAAAAAAAAAAAAAAAAAAAAAAAGAATATCTTAGCATAATTTCTTGCCAAAAAGAGGAATCTTAGAATTTCAAGCTAGGTAAGCAGGGCTGGCCACAGGTTTGTAGTTTGTGGAAATGATAGTGACACTTGGGAGATATTCTCTGGCAGCACATGTCTGCATGACTGTTTTTGCCTCAGGAGCATGCTTGCTCCGGCTCTGTGTGAGCTTGCTGTGCGTTCGCAGGAAGCTGATTGACTTAAAGTACATCGGTAGCTTGTGAACACTTAAGACTGAAAACCATCTTTGATCAATGCACATATATCTTTTTTTCTGAACTCTTCAGGAAAAAAATTGCAGGACACTTTGCTGCCAAGAGGAGTCTAGGCTTCCGTAAGCATAAACCTTAATCCTTCCTGCTACAATTCTTCTGCTCCCTCCTGCCTTTTCTGAGCAAAGTCCACTCTCTCTCTCCTCACATACCTGAGTGTCTCTGCTCTCTCTTGAAACCACAGGCAATACAAGAAACATTTATCTGAACACTGAGGCCACAAATGTTGCTGGGAAGAAGAAGGTGTGTGACCGAGAACAGGTACTTGACCTTTCAATCTATGAAATGGAGACACCCAGAAGATATCCTCCCAAGGGCTGATGGGTAATAATATCATATTTATAACTCTATAAAATAATGGGACACTTATCCTTGCAATTTGTAAATATAAATTTATAAAGATTATAATATCTGAGTAGAATACTTAATGATACTATTATATAAGTACTGCCTGCTAATGATTGTGTCACTAGAGCTCTCTTATTGATGTTATTAAACACTTGTGCTTCCAGAACATGGTAAGTGTTCAATAAATATAATCAGTTACTATTTAGAGTAAGATAAAAAGGCAATAAAATAAAGCTGTAATTTCTGTGTGTACACAGTACGGAGGAGTGTGACTGAAGACTTACAGAATTGAATGGAATACTTTAAAGGAAGTGTCTTAAAGGGAGGTGACATTGAAAATAGTTACAAAAGAAGGAAAAGGATCAAGGGCTGCATGGGTTGGGGAAGGGAAGGAGGGAAAGGAATGATAAAAGAATTTGTTCTTATTTTTGTTTTTTTTTTTGTCTTTTTGAGACAGCGTCTCTTTATGCAGTTCAGGCTGGCTTTGAGCTCACTTTGTAGCCCAGACTGGTCTCAAACTCCCAAGGATCCTCCTGCCTCAGCCTCCTGAGTACTGGGATTACAGGTGTGCACCACCACGCCTGGCATGACAAAGGAATTAAGAGGTATTGTGTACATGGACCAACTTCCTACAAGGAAGGTAAACATTGTGTACTACACATAGGTGCTAATAAAATAATAATAATAATGAAAATGTGGCATTTGAGCTGGCTAGAGAGAGAGAGAGAGAGATCTTTTAGGGGATGTCATTCAAAGTTATGAAACATGAAGGAGAATCAGCAACTTTCTTCTTGCATCCCACACACAGTAGGGACTTTCTATTCACCCTTTATCTTGTTCTATAGATGCTTCAAATTCTCTATCCATTGGTATGTTTACCACAGACTATTATTGTCCATGTAGAGTCCTTTTATGGAGAAAGACATATTAATGAGATCTTAAATGACAGCATTATTTATAAGTGAGTATAGTTGGTAATATAAGTTAATGGTACAAGGATTTTAAAGTTCTGCTCATCCAAAATCAACTTGTCTGGTTTCTGTAGTACTGACCCATTGTTGAGTTTTTCTCCTCTCTCTTTCTTTTCTTTTCTTTTCTTTTCTTTTCTTTTCTTTTCTTTTCTTTTCTTTTCTTTTCTTTTCTTTTCTTTCTTTCTTTCTTTCTTTCTTTCTTTC